ATGGCTGGATGGCATCGCCAACTCGATGGGCATAAGTTTGAGTAAACTCCAGGAGTTGGTGATGGACAGGGGGGGCCTGACGTGAAGCGATTCATGGGGTCGCAAAGAGTCCAACACGACTAAGTGACTGATCTGAACTGAAAACATTAGGACCTTATCTGTTTAGAAAAAATCTATAACAATGATCAACACCACCACCTCCAACAACAAAAACCCTTTTCTAAAAACTATGAAGTAATATTGATTCATGTGTATTTAAAAGCTTAGTAAGTTCAAAAGTACAAAAGGTCTGTTTATAAAAGACAAGAAACAAAAAGAATATTCTTTTAAAAAATGATATTCCTCAGCATTTCAGACCATCATCTTACCTGAAGTAATTATTCCATTAATACCCATAATAATGCCTTTGCTTATTGGCCATCAACATCTTGTGTAAAGTGAAATAAATATTTTTAACTGTTTCAGGTTTCATTTAATTTTGAAAAATCAAATTATCCCAAGATAAAACCTGACATTACAATGAAAAGAATCTTCATAAATTTTTCCTTCTCCCCCTAAATTACAATTACCCACATTACAAGCATTTATTTAAGAATTTATAGCTGAGTGTCAATCATCTTAAATAGAAACATTTAAGGAAAAAAAATCAGTAAATCTATAATACACACTAGTTGGGCTTCCCTGGTAGCACAGCTGCTAAAGAATCTGCCTGTAATGCAGAGACCCCGGTTCAATTCCTGGGTTGGGAAGATTCCCTGGAGAAGGGACAGGCTACGCCCTCCAGTATTCTTGGGCTCCCCTGCTGGCTCAGACAATAAGAATCCACCGAGGGAAGAGACCTGGGCTTGATCCCTGGGCTGGGAAGACCCCCTGGAGGCGGACATGGCAACCCACTCCAGTGTTCTTGCCTGGGACAGAGGAACCTGCTGGGCCAGTCCATGGAGTCGAAGAGCTGGACAGGCCTGAGCCGCTAAGCACACAGACACTAGTAGTTTCAGCTCACTTTTACAAGAATGCATTTTAAAAATTCATTATATATTCTAGGTCACCAGATAAATTACACCATAAAAGTCACAAAATTATAATCATACTGTTTTACAAGAAAGTAAACACTACCACAGAGTAACCTCTTCCAGCAATATAATGGGGATCAGAGTAACATCAAGTAATTTGACAGTTACACTTCAGTAAATATTAGTAACACAGTATAGATTTAAAAGCAGATACCAGGTTTGACATTACTGAATTCACCACTGGGGCTTTCAACAAGTGGGAGGGCTGTCAGAGGTCTGTGTTGGGTAGGTCCTTTACCATCTGAGTCAGCAGGGAAGCCCCTATGTTGGGTAGCAATCTGTTAGTTGGCTTTGGCCTAATTTTGAGCCAAGCACTAAGACACCAACATGGAAACGGACTTGAAGATCCAACATCCCTGTGTCACTGCGTGGCATTTTGCTAAGACCTCTATTCTACAACCCTCCAAAGCTGAGAATCTACACTCATTGTACTCTGGTTATACACTCAAATGAAGCTGAAATAACCAAAAACAAAGCAAGCAAATAAAAAAACCCAGAGCAGTAATCCAATTTACACTGGCTTCAAAAATGGGATACAACCAACTAACTANGAATCTACACTCATTGTACTCTGGTTATACACTCAAATGAAGCTGAAATAACCAAAAACAAAGCAAGCAAATAAAAAAACCCAGAGCAGTAATCCAATTTACACTGGCTTCAAAAATGGGATACAACCAACTAACTAAAAATGAACATTCAAGTTGTCAAGTGTGCATTTGTAATTAATACTTTAGATAACTTTCTCTTAGAAAACCACTGCATGGAACCTAAAAAGTTGAAGCTCTAAAGGATTTAATTTTGTTTGGTTGCTAAATTGTATCTGACTCTTTTGTAACCCCACTGACTATGTAGCCTGCCAGGCTTCTCTGTCCATGGGATTATCCAAGGAAGAATACTAGAGTGGGTTGCCATTTCCTCTGCCAAGAGATCTTCCTGACCCAGGGATTGAACCTGTGCCTTCTGGATTGCAGGCAGGATTTTTTACCGAGCTACCAGGGAAGCCCAAAGGATTTGAGATCATTTAAGATAAACAGATCCCTTTAAGATAAACAGATCAGATGGAGAAAGTGAGGCTCAGAGAAGTTACCTTGCTGAAAGATAGACAAATACTTGATACTGGAGTCACCTCATCTAGTCACCCCTAAGTCTGATTTTATTAATATTTTATTGTTCACTTCAGAATTCCATCCTGGTTTCATAATAAATGCAGGATAGCATAAATAATTAAGAAAAATGCTTATTAAAATATCGACAAAGGACAGCAAGAAAGTATCTCTACAATATAACCTAAATCACGTAAAAAAGTAAAAAAAAGTCAAATGCTAAAACTATGGGCACTGACATCTGGGGTATGTATATCCTTGTATTTATGTATCTGTTCCATTTTTTCCTTTCTTTATATATTTTCCATATTTTCTACAATGAATAACTGCTAACCATATGTCAGAGTAAATAGTAAAACGGAGACATAAGCATGCTATTAAAAGCCAACACTTGGAATTTGAACTATGGTTAATTTGCAGCATGCAAAATAGGAAATTAATTTGCTATCAAGGATGCACCGTTAAAGTATTTTTCTGTTAAGTGGCTACATTGTTTCTGAGGGAAAAAATATCAAGAGTAAATGGGACAAAAATATATCCACCTACATATACAAAATGAAATGTTAGAAAAATATCAATTAAATGCAGTTGACTATGAATCTGTTGTTCTTCATTTATAGGAAAAACAAGCACTTCATATTAAATATAAATGAAGCAAATTGTAACCTCTGCCTTTTATCCCATTTGCCAATATGAATTTAAAAAACAGAATGCAAAATTTTAATCTCTAATTATAGCCAGATTTCATGTACTTCAATTTTCTGATGCTCTCTGAATTAGAGGTAATTGAGCTTAGATGTTTTAATTATATACACATATATCCAGAGTTCATTTGGGGCTATAATATTATATGTTATTACTGATGTAGAGTCTACTACACAGACTATGTCTATTTGCTTCTAACTTCCGTGTCTGCTACATATCTGGCAGCTCCAGGCAAAGCGGCCCCTGGAGAATGGTCCAGTAGCTCAGTTCCCACTGTCCCCTAACCGATGTCAATGCCACACTTTTTGCTTGTCCTCACGGACACCCCTTCCCAACTGTGCTCATCCTCCATGACCCAGTAAATTCCCAACCTCTCTGAAAACATCCTTGACTTACACAGTCTGTAATGGACTCTTCTCCAAGCATATACAAAAACTAAGAAGTTAGATTCATACAATTTATTGCATGATGTTCTCTTGTGATTTTATGTATGTTAACTTTATTTTAAAGCATATTGTACATTTCTTGGGAGGTGGTATGGACTTCCCAGTCGGTGCTAGTAGTAAAGAACCTGCCTGCTAATACAGAATATGAAGGTTCGATCCCTGGGTCAGGAAGATCCCCTGAAGGAGGAAATGGCAGCCCACTCTAGTATGCTTACCTAGAGAATCCCATGGACAGAGGAAACTGGCGGGCTACACTCCATGAAGTTGCAAAGAGTCGGACACAACTAAAATGACTTAACATGCAAGCATGGAATCTAGCTTATTGTTCTTCTGCATTCAGTGATCAGCAGAGGAAGGAGTGAAGATGCTCGAAGACGTTCAACTAGAAATGAGGGACTTGGCAGATGATAGTGTTAAGCAAGAAGCATTCTTAGTATACTCACTAAGTAACGACTGTTGTAAGGTTTTAAGGGAAAAGCAGAGATTACAAGAAAAGTTTTTGCCCTTAAAACCTTATAATCTTTTTATTATGAAGAGGCACTTTAATATCAGAAAACAGTAAAGTTCATAATTAAATGTGTAGAAAATAAACTTGAGGAGGAAGAGGAATGAGATTCAGTCTTTTTATCATCACTATAACAGAAGTCTCAGAAGTTTTCATAAAGCAGTAGAGCCTGAGACATGGATCTTGAGAATAAAGATTCTGAAAATTTAGTGCATAGGAGGGTACTGTATGGATGCACAACACCAGAAAAAAAATTCAAGACAAGATTAGAGGGCAAGCATTAGGAATTCCTGAACAATATTTTTAGTTGAGTAGAATTCTGTGGATCTTGCTGATAGCAGGAGAGCACAGAATTAATTTAGAAGGAAAGAAAGAACAATGTTGGGTTTTGAGTAGGAAAGTGATTTTTGGAAAGCAGAATTTAAATTAAATCAGCTATGTGAATAAAATATATTGGACAGAAGACAAGCAGCTGGATTTAATATGAGGAGGAGGAGGAGAATGGCAATCAGGAGATTTGGTTTTATCCAGGTTTTATTTGGGTAGACACTATCACTTAACTATCTGATGTGCTTCTTGTGTCCCTATTTTTCAAATGAGACACCTGGTTAAACTAATTTTTCTAGCTTTAAAATCCACTGATGTTAATTCTGAGATCAGGGAGAAGGCTATTTTAGCTGGCCTGTTATAAGCCAAAACTAGTGCAATGGGGAAGATGAGCTGAATATGAAAAACTCAAAAGAACAATCAACAGGGATGGGTGGCTGAATGGAATTGAGAAACAGAAAATTGGAGGAACCAAACATCATTTTATGATGTCAAACTGGGAAGCTGGCATAAATGTGACGCCTATGAGGAAGAGACAGGGGTGGGGAGGACAGCACTGTGCTGCCGGAGCCTCGGTCTGTATGAAGGGAAGACTTCGCTTTCTCTCTGTTGGTTTCTGTGGAATCTCAGAGTGCAGGTAGGTCTCAAAAATGCTGTAGTTATCAGCAAAGAATCAGAAAGGATCTGATTTCTGTCACTTCACTTTAAAAAGCCAGCTGGTTTATTTTCATCAACACACTTCTAGTCACCCTGCACTTTCTGTACTGAGAACCTCTGAACCACTCCGGACAGCAACTTTATGCATGGGAAATTGATCTCCAAATCCAGAAACACTTACCTGATGCTGGGGAGAAGGGTGGCAGCGGAAGGGGGAGGAGAAAGCCGGGGAGGAACATCGTATTCTTCACTTCCCAGGTGACCATTGGAAAAGACCTGAAAGGCAATCAAAGGGTTAGCTTAGAATTTTAACTTCTGGAGGATCTTAAAACAATAGCTGCTCTTGGATGTTCTGTAATTTTGAAAAGAATATATCATTTCAGCTTATTTGAACAAGTGAAATATCATGTAATTTACTTAGAAGCACCATAGTGATTATCTGCCACCACCCAAAATACTACCAAGTTAGGTGGAAAAATAAAATACAGCATGATACTCATCCTGAGGGGAGATGCTACAGTTTCTATAAATCAGATACAGATTAACTAGATAAATAAGTAGTCAAAGTTTCCAGACATGATGAGTTTTTGGTGAAAAGTTAGCACTCTCTGTAAGGATTTAATAAGGGGAAAAAAGTAGCACTGGGTGCAAATCTTGTTTCAATTCCTCCCAAATAAATTATACCTCTCTGGGGTTAACAGGACGTTTCTAAAGTTCTTGACAAAATCACAAAGGAGTATAATCAGAAACGCCTTTGTTCTTTCAAGGTCGAAGCTTCAGCACTACTAGCAATTAGAGATCTGGTCTGGCTTTCAAAGAGCAAGCAACTTTAAATGCAGTCTTCAGTGCGTGAACAACACAAACCAGAACTGTTACCTTGCTCGTAAGCTACAACCGCCAGCGTTTAACTACTCAGAACTCGGGAATTCTGATTTGCAGGCTGCTCAGTTACAGTCTGGGAGCTAACAGCTGCTCTTCACTAATCCAACAATGTGATTAAAGCAATTTAAAAGAAAAAAGAATAAGAACCTTGAAAAGACAGATGAAACATATTTTAGACCCTTAAGTAATGATTAGGATTTTCTCATGAAGCTCTCTCCCAAACTATTTATTAGTTCATCTACAAATGGCATAGGCTAATTTGTGGCAAAAAGGATGTGATGTAATTTGAATAGTTCTAGATAACCCAGTGAGTAACCTACCAATTTGTTTCCCCCGCCTCAATGTTCTAGAATGATGTTGAAGCTTTAGAAGTGAAACAGCCACATTTACCCGTGTCAACGTAAGAAAAGGAACATGTTTAAAGAATCCATTTGAAACATATCATTGTTTGCAATTCAAAGCTACACAATATAAACTTTATATCATTTAAGCCATCACCCTAAAAAAAAAAGTCCTACGCTAGTTTTTGATTTCTCATTACATTCAGTATACTAGAGATGAACTATGATAAAAATATCAATATATCTTTAATTTTATCATAGGTTTTTAACTATGGACCAAACAACAGAACAAGGTAGAGTTTTTTAGATTTTCTAGGACAAGAAATTTCTAAGCCGACATTAATTTTTGTACAGATCAGTGAGAAACTTTAAACATTAAAAAATCCCTTTGAACCAACAAATACATGTATCAAACCACAAATGCTCATTGTATAACAGGCATATAAAGTCACTCTTAATTGCAGTTCTGGGCAATTAACTGTTGCCAAAATGGATACAATGTAAGATTTCTGCAATCAAAACTCTGTGATGTTTCTGTCATAAATACATTTAAAATTCATTCTGGAAAATGTCATGTAGGTTTACATGCAATTATTTGTTTTAATAGGAGCAAGTACCTAATGTATTGTTGACACCTAGTAAAATTTCAACAATTATAAAAGGGAACTATGGGAATAAAAGTTTCTATTGTATTCCACATGAGGTTTTTTTTTGGGACAAAGACTGATTTCCTCATTTTATAGGACATTCCTTCAATGCTTTACACATAGTAGAGTGCAAATGAATACTGACTGCTTATTAATAGATTATACGTGTGTGTAAATAGTAAAGGACCTAAAAATGCAGATACTAAAGTGATGTTTGTATTTCTGTTTATCTAAAGTGGCTGGATGGCCAGATTTAATATTATTTCATTCTGAACTCTATGTTCCCACCTGCTCCTAATTTCATTAGACAAAATCATTTCATTTAAAACTACTGAAAGAGTGCAGTAAGTTACAACTTCTCGAGCTAAAAATAAATATATTAAGTCCTCTGGAAATCTGTAAAGCATTTGGCAGACAGGAGAAAACAACAACTCCTCATATGTGTAAGTTGACAGTATCAACCGAAGCAGTTCACACAGAAATCTCCTTGATTCAGCTTTTAACTGTCAGCTAATGAAACTTCTCTCTCTTCTGACTTCCTAGCTCACTGTCACATATTTACTACAATTCCATGTGACATGCTTATTAATACTAACTTAAACATTCTGTCATCTCCTCTATTTGGAGGTGACAAACAGTTTCAAGGGGTCAGATCTGAGAGAGTACCCATGTAACACTCTACAGGAGGCAGTGACCAAAACCATCCCCAAGAGAAAGAAATACAAAAAGATAAGAAGATTGTCTGAGGAGGCCTTACCAATAGCTGAGAAAAGGAGAGAAGCGAAGGCAAAGGAGAAAAGGAAAGATACACCCATCTGAATGCAGAGTTCCAAGGAACAGCACGGAGAGATAAGAAAGTCTTATTAAGTGAACAATGCAAAGAAACAGAAGAAAGCAATAGAATAGGAAAGACTAGATATCTCTTCAAGAAAACTGGAGACACCAAGAGAACATTTCATGCAAAAATTGGCACAATAAAGGACAGAAACAGTAAGGACCTAACAGAAGCAGAAGAGATTAAAAGGGGTGGCAAGAATACAAGAAGAACTATACAAAAAGGTCTTCATGACCCAGATAAATGATGGTGTGGTCACTCCCCTAGAGCCAACATCCTGGAGTGTGAAGTCAAGTGGGCCTTAGGAAGTAACACTACGAACAAAGTAGTGGAGGTGATGGAATTCTAGCTGAGCTATTTCAAATCCTAAAAGATGATGCTGTGAAAGTGCTGCACTCAATATGCCAGCCAATTTGGAAAATGCAGCAGTGGTCACAAGACTAGAAAAGGTCAGTTTTCATTCCAACCCCAAAGAAGGGCAGTGCCAAAGAATGCTCAGACTACCGCACACGCATTCATTTCACACGCTGGCAAGGTGACACTCAAAATCTTTTCAAGTTAGGCTTCAACAGTACACGACCTGAGAACTGCCAGATGTACAAGCCAGACTGAGAAAAAGGCAGAGGAATAGATCAAATTGCCAACATCCACTGGACCATGGAAAAGCAAAAGAATTCCAGAAAAACATCTACTTCTGCTTCATTGACTACATTAAAGCCTTTAACTCTGTGGACCATAACAAACTGTGGAAAATTCCTGAAGAGCTGGGAATACCAGACCACCTGACCTGCCTCCTGAGAAATCCATATGCAGGTCAAGAAGCAACGCTTAGAACCAAACATGAACACCACACTGGTTCAAAATTGGGAAAGGAGTACATCAAGGCTGTATATTGTCACCATGCTTATTTAACTGATATGCAGGCTACATCATGCAAAATACCAAGCTGGTTGACTCACAAGCTGGAATCAAGATTGCTGGGAGAAATATCAATAACTTCAGATATGCAGATGACACCACCCTTATGGCAGAAAGTGAAGACGAACTAAAGAGCCTCTTGATGAAAGTGAAAGAGGAGAGTGAAAAAGTTGGCTTAAAGCTCAACATTCAGAAAACTAAGATCATGGCATCTGATCCTATCACTTCATGGCAAATAGATAGGGAAACAATGGAATCAGTGAGAGACTTTATTTTGTTGGGCTCCATAGTCACTGCAGATGGTGACTGCAGCCATGAAATTAAAAGACCTCTGCTCCTTGGAAGGAAAGTTATGACCAACCTAGAGAGCATATTAAAAAGCAGAGACATTACTTTGTCAACAAAGGTCCGTCTAGACAAAGCTATGATTTTTCCAGTGGTCATGTATAGATGTGAGAGTTGGGAGTATAAAGAGAGCTGAGCACTGAAGAATTGATGCTTTTGAACTTTGGTGCTGGAGAAGACTCTTCAGAGTCCCTTGGATAGAAAGGATGTCTAACCAATCCATCCTAAAGGAAATCAACCCTGAATATTCCTTGGAAGGACCAATGCTGAAGCTAAAACTCTAATACTTTGGCCACCTGATACAAAGAGCCCACTCACTGGAAAAGACCCTGATGCTGGGAAAGACTGAGGACAGGAGGAGAAGGGGATGAGAGGGGATGAGATGGTCAGATAACATCATTGACTCAATGGACATGGATTTGAACAAACTCTGAGAGACGATGAAGGACAGGGAAGCCTGGTGTATTGCAGTCCATGGCGTCACAAAGAGTCAGACACAACTGAGCGACTGAACAACAACAAAATCATTCTGATCCTATCACTCCTGTGCCAGAAAAGCTTTAAACGCACTGTCCTGTCTACCAAGTTAAAGATGACATAGTACAGAATATGAGGCCCTCCGTAACTGCCTCCAGTCTTCACCGCCACAGCGTGACCTACTGTGCTCACTCTGCATGCACTGCAGTCTGTCCAACATCCACTTCCTGCACTGCGCTTACATTCCCACTCACATGCTGCCCTCCCTGTCCTGTCTCCACAAACAGCACCTGCTGATCTTCTAGTGTCAATCACTAGTGGCTCTCTTGCACACTTTCTTTAGTCCTTCTACCCTGCGTCTCAGTTAGAATATTTCCCCCCTTGGAGATCCCACACTGTATTTTCTAGATGCTTCTCCTGTGCCGCATCTGTTAGGTAACTGTGTATCTGTCTCATCCTCACGAGACTCTGCTTGATCTCTTTTGTATTCTCCTCAGTATCTTGAATATCCTACTCATTTAACTCAAAGAGGTTGAAGGAATAAGAATACTTATTAAGGGGAACTTATACTTGTGGAAGAAGTATAATCTGAGTTATCACAAAATTTATTATCAACTCTAGGTTACTCTAGATGAACATTTTTCTACATGCCTCAAAATTAATATTTTATTAATATTTTAATAAATATTAAAATTCATGTTTTTCTACATGCCTTTCATCCTAACTTTGAAGTGTGAAATGTTTTCTCATGGCTCAGATATTGCCTACAAATTAATGTTAAAGCATTTGGGGTCCTCAAGATGTAGGGAAGATACTATTGTGATAATGCCAGCACAATTAAGAAAAAGCTTTTTTAACATTCAAAGTCTGAGACACAATCTCCTTTTCCCCATCCCACACATGTAAACCCACACGTGTACCAAACTGAAAACACTGCTATAATTTATCCTCCAACAACATTAGGTTAAAGCTGAAACACTGTACACAGAAGACATATTTTCTGAAAGACGACACTTGAGATTCACAGATAAGTTTAAGGTCATTCTTATAAACATGTGCCTCTGTACCAAAATAGCAAAAGCCACATATCAAAAAGAGGAATCATTCCATGTGTTTATCTAGCAGTATCTTCAACAGATTCTTGTGCATAGGGTCATTTTAGAATGATGTCACTTGAAGTAACATGACAAGTCAGAGATAGTGTTTAACCATATAAGAAACAGTAGCATTCTTAATCTTTTAAGAGGAACAAATAAAGACAGTTGGACACAGTGTCAGTATCTATACATAAGCAGATACATTTCAAGTTCCCAATATCTTAAAACATTTTAGTACAAATATTTTCACCTCAGATAATTAAAAGAAACAAACCAGCAATAATAAACAAATATCTAGCCAACATAATATGAATTAAGGAACAGGTTTATAATGTGGCTGGAATTTGAGGGAATAGAAACAGTCCCCTAGGAAAGAAATCTCATATCAATAAAATAAAGCAACCTCATAACTGTTAGCTTGCAAGTTTCATGTTAAAAGGAAAGCAGTACCTTCGCTAACTTGATTACACTAGGTGGGAGGGGGAGAGAACGGGGAGTAAATGAAAGTCACAGAACATCCTTGCGCTCGGTTTTAACCATGAATTAGAGGGCTTTTCTCCCCTTAGAGCTCTCCACAGGTAGCAAAAAGAGCAATTAGCATTTAATTTATCCTTGCTGCCGTCACCATTTATCTAGTGAAGATGCAAATAAAAAGTGCAAATAGTTCTAATGGATGACGGGGCTGGCACATGGACAGGGACGCGCGACGAAGGGGAGGCAGTCCTCACTGCATTTACAGAATGTTCAGCTTTCTGAATTCCCTCTGTGGTGATCCATGTGTACACTCAGTTTTAAGCTTTTAGTACTCATCTAAGTTTTCCTATCTTTAAAAAGGGAAGATGATATTTGAGACATTTCCTTTAATAAAACAAGTCTAAATGATAGTTGCTACTATCTGACACAAAAACATATTTTCTTACCTTTGGAGACACTGATGGGTTATATGAAGATAATACATCAGCCTCCAAGTATCTAAGTCCCTACACCCTTTATTCCCAGGATAATATGTTTTTAAAAACAGTTTTTAAAAGATGCACACAATGTATGCAGGGTGAGAATGCACTGTAACACTTAGCATTTTCATTAATATATGAGTCTTCTTAAATCAAAATAATTCTCCTTCATCCCTTCTTTGTCTCCCTCTTACTGTGACTACCTGTGTATAATGACTGCTTGTCTAAAAGAGTAAAAAATCCTATTTTAAACACACAAAAAATTAACATTCTACTTTTGGCTGAAAGCCAGTGTTGGAACAATACATTAAAAAAAAAAAACAAAAAAACCCAACTCTCCTACTGTTAGTGTACCAGGATCGTCCTCCTCCTCCAAGCCCTCCCCTGCCTGAAGCCTGCCCACCGCCGACTCCAGCAGGCACGCGCGCCGTCACCCCACCATGGGTTTCAGCACTGCAATCGCTCACAACCAGTACCGATGCCCGTGGACGCTCAGTAGGGACTATGCTGAAGAGGAGGAGAGGGGAAGGGGAGAAGGAGGTGATAATTTTGGTTTTAAATTAAAACAAAAGTAAGGAGAATTACGGTAGATGAAAATGAACTCCCTACCTAGTCTGGTTTTATTCCAGAACCAAGGGATATGGAGATTTAGATATCTGGAGGGAATAGATAACTATTCCCCTAGAAATGAGGTACTATTATTGGTTCATTTCATAAAGTAAGGGAAGTAAGTGGAATTAGGGGCAAGGATGTGGTAAGTTGCTTATACACATAAAGCCAGCAAGTTCTAGAGCAGGAAGTAAAATTCAGGCCTGATTCCACAGCATGATTGATCTGTGTTGGTCAGATTTTTTGTTAAAATGCAGCTATCAGATTTGCCTTATCATTTTTACTTCTGCCTAAAACAGCTGAACAGATATTCCTCTACAAAAACACTTTGTTAAATTTGAAAGGAGAGAGAACACTGGGAAACTGGTTATCCTGATCACTTGCAAAGTCTTGCATGTAGAAAGTATTCACAAATATATATTAAATAATTAAATCAGTCTGGATTGAGGAACTACAAAGATGTAAGATGAGAAACAAACTCCAATCCAAGGTCATGCAGAAACCAACTACAGGATTCTAGATGGACTCAAGTTTTCCATCTGCTGAAGTCAGACTCACGTCTCCCAACAGTGAAAAGAAAAGAATTAGGCTTTTTCTACTTTCTGTCAGCTGTTACACGTTCTGTGGCCTACCAAAGTGGAACTGTTTCCTTAAAAAGATAATAAAAAAGGAGACTAAGGGCAGACATGCTCTGTTTTATGGCATTTAATACATCATATATAAAGCCTTCTTCATAATCTGCCTTAAAAGTCAAACAACTAGACTGAAATGAGAAATCTTAGATGTCTAGTTTGGGTTAAAATATTCAGTCTAGTTGTAACATGTAATTAACTTTGAGACTATAAGCACTGCACTGCTGATACACACAACATATGAGATTAGACCCTAAAGAATTTTAATTAGGATTATTTAGATAGAACTAAATAGATTCAGCTTTCAATAAGAGGGAAAGTTTGCAACTTAATCAATGTCGTCTGGGATATTAATATGTATCAAAGAGCAGGGCATGAAAGATCACAGAGAAAACATGTAAAGGAGCCTTTATAGCTGAAACCACTATTATACCTAAAGTTTTTATACCTACAGTTAGTGTAATAAAATAAAACTCCCTACCTATAACCTAAGCAATTATAACCCTACTTTAAAAAACCACCACCATTCATAATAGCCTATGTTCTAGGGCTTAGAAGGGCAAGATTATATTAGTGTTAAGGTTCTGTAACATATTATCTAAGAAAAACCCTGAAACAAGAGGTCTTCAAGGAACTGGACAGTATAATTATTATATTTAAAGTATTTCTCAAGTTCATTCAGGAAATAAATTGTAATATGTTGCTAAGATATAACTATTCATGTCAGAGCTTGTCTGAACATTCTCCTGAAGTCAAGTGTGACCATGTATGAATGAAAAGTAACAGAGACTAAAGGGGGGGGAGGAAATCACTGGAAAAAAAGACAAGTCATTCTGACCAAGATTCTAGGTTGTAGAGACATAACTTTTGAGGATAAAGTCTCCATTTTTAGAGAACACACTATAACAATGCTTTTACAAGTGCTATCTCTTCCACTGACATCACCTTCACACGACCTTGGAGAAAACCTTTGCAGATCTTCATATTTGTAACAGATGAAAGGCGGAAGGCGCCAACGGGAACTCGAACAAAGCTTCCTACAGACTGTCACTGCTCCTCCCCTTCGCTCTGAGTGCCAGAGCAGGCAGTCCTGACTCCTGCTATCCGGGCCACTCTAACAATATTTAATTCTTAGGAAAACTAATACAAACTAACACAAAGTGTTCCTTCACACATGTGCATGCACACACGTTGTGCACATACACACAGGAATTTAGTACAAGCCATTTTTCACACTTGTTTCTTGACTAACTCACCCACTACTAACTATTATCTGGAAGGAACAGTCTACTCCCCTAAAATAACAATTTAAGATCAAAGGAGCTAGGAACACTTTAACATTACAATCTTCAAAAGAGGCAAAGCCTTCTGCAGCTGAAGGCAGATGGTGACAATCTAATCCCAGAGTCAAAAATACCATGGAAGCAGATACCAGGAAATATGACAGGACAGCTCTGCCAAGGGCCCGCTAAGGGGTCTGAACGCACTGATTTCTGCTGTTGCCTCTTTGGTTTCCTGTGTGCTTAAATTCTTTCCTGTACATATAACTGACAGTGGTAATATATAGCGTGTTAAAACTCATTATGTGTTAAGGGTCTCTTTCAGTATTATAGAGAAAGAGCCAGCCCTGTAACAATGAACTAAAAAACTTGGTGTTTTGATGTAGGTGAGAAGTTCAACTGACCTGTCTAAGGGGCACTCTCCCCAGGCAACAATAATTCCAGTGACTGATTAACGATATGCTATTAACAATACAACTTTTTTTCAAATTAGATGGAACTAGAAGAGTTGGGATTTCCTGCTGGTTCAGACAGTAAAGAGTCTGCCTGCAATGCAGGAGACCTGGGTTCAAGCCCTGGGTTGGGAAGATCCCTCAGAGAAGGGAATGGCAACCCACTCCAGTACCCTTGCCTGGAGAATTCCATGGACAGAGAAGCCCGGTAGGCTGCAGTCTATGGTGTCGCAGAGCCGGACACAACTGAGTGACTAACACACTTTCCCACACTTTTTCCTTTTTTTCAGAAAAGTTAAAAAAAAGTGCTGATTCTCCCATGACAATTTATTAATGGGAAAATATTCTGCAGATGAAGTAAGAGAAGGTATACTAAACTTCTGGCAAATTGTCTAGTATCTTCCTATGAAAACTAAATCATTACTTAGACTCTTTTTCCTGACTTCTTTTAGGTTCAAGTTTTAATGAGCTTCTGATTTTTATAACTTGCAGATAATCAAAGACCTGCAGGGAAATGTCACTCTAGACACAAAAACGCACCACCCAACCTTTTATACTACTTCCTATCAGAAGATTATGAGCAGGCTGTGTATCTTCTGCTCTGTGTATTTCTTACCTTGGCTCCTTCTAAAGGCACATCATTGCGCCTGTGTTTCCGGAGAAGCACTGGGTCAGAGCCCATCCGACTATGCCTTCCGTTTGCATTGGAACTCGCCGTGATTCCAGGCTTCGGGGAGCCGTCCCCAAGGAGGCGACATCCCACCGACTGATTAGTCCCCAGCACGTCCCGCGGGCACCAGGCTTCAAGAGGCACGGGCTGGTCTCTGGGAGGCACGCTTTCCACGTGATGGATGTGACGGCTCAGTCTGTTGTCCGGGGGCACTGGGGGAGGCCTCTCAGGTGGAGGGGGAGGAGGGTCTCTTAAGGGCGGTGGTGGGGCTGGGAGTGGTTTATCTTGTTTTCTCACCATGCAAGGAGAAGACTGAAGAAACACAGAGGAAAAAAGAAAAGATGTTTCATGCACTGAAATACCTTCCAGACTATTATTGCTTTTGTTTTCTAAGCCATAATAGAGCTTTCTTAGATTCCTGTGCCTTCTTTTAATGAGTTTCTTTTATCACCAATTAATGAAAGTTTAAAAAATTATGAAAAACTCAAAATATGTCTCATTAAGATTTCTTTGTAAAAAATGAACATATAAACTCAAAATTTAGGATTATAAGGACTACAGGAAAAAAAGCAGCAGAATATCAAAATTATATGATGATTCTGACCAGTCGACATTAAAATAATGAGTCATTAAGTATTTTATTTGCACGTTTCTATGATTTAAGAGAGACAGCAGATACCATCAAGAAGTTGTTGCTTACTTTTTAAAAGAACACCTTGATTTGCAACATCTCTGAAAAACAGAAAATGCTGGTTTTGTTATTTTTGTTTTCACCTCTATAATACAAAGCAGCTGACAAGGGCAAGATGTGCTCTGGTTCTTTACCAGTCATGGGTGGCGCTACTGGTAAAGAATCCACCTGCCGACACAGGCCTTGCAGGTTCGATCCCTGGGTGGGGAAGATCTGGAGAAGGAAATGGTAACCTACTCCAGTTTTCCTGCTTGGAAAATTCCATGGGCAGAGGAGCCTGGGCAGGCTATAGTTCGTGAGGCTGCAAGGAGTCGGACATGACTGAGCATACACAAACACACACCGGAAGAATGAAAAATCACAAATAATAGAGCAGTGTTACGTATAGACTTTACTTGCATTGTATTGATCCTTGGGGAAAAAAGCCAGTTTGATTCTTATATGGAAATATAAAGGTATAAGCTGCTAAATTGATCTGTGTGACTTTCACAGGCTTTATTTTCATTTACACAGTTCATCTGACAAATGATTTGTGCTTTTATTGTTAGGAAATATCATAGAAAAAAGGAATGTGTTGTGTTTCCATAATTCTGACTAAATAACATCCTAAAAAGTCTTAATATGATCTTAAAACTGTGTTAATTGTAATGTAGAAAAATCCAGAACTACTAAAACACTGTGTTTCCAACTAGTTTTACACTGTAAAGCATGTCACCAAATGCGATTAATGTTTAAAATCTTATATTTAATAAAGCAAAATATTCCCTTATCAAATTTGGAAAAAAAGATCTGCACAGAACTAAAATTAACTGTGGGCTTAAATGTACAGATAGAATTATGTCTTTAATATTAAAGAGGAATATAATTACTTTGCAAATACTGTAATTCTTTGTAACTAATTCCTTCATATACAAAAGGTACATGTAATTCCCTCTTCTGAGTCACCTTGAAACATGGGTGATAATTTATCACATCCTAAGCCCTTATGCAAATACACTTCCGTAACATTTTTCTTGTCAAGACACTATGAAAATGAGTATAAAATATTTTAATAAGAACATGCAATTTATTTTAATACATATAATGACCTTTTAAATCCATTTTACAGAATAACCATACTTACTCTACTGTTTATTTTTGCAATCATGTGCTCTCTTTGAATAATTATGCAACTGTGAACAGTAATAAAGGCAAGGAATATGATCGTGGGTTTGCTACACACCACGTGAGAGACCCATCAAAGTAGCTCATAAACGAGAGCGTAAGAAATATGATTAATGGAGATTTAAAAACCCGAGCAATCAATACTCATCACATAAAATTATTATCTGTGTTTCTAGTAATACGATTTACCTTTGGTGAGCCAGTGGGGCTGCCACAGGGAGACCGAACTATGCCTTTCTGAATGAGGTCCAGGCGGGGAGGCACTGGTGGGAGGCTTAGATGTGGGATCTGGAGAGGGTCTGGGTGTGGCTTTCTTCTCTGAGCCAGGGGAGAGGATCCGGGAGACGTGACGGGGGAGCTCTGCCTGTCAGTGCACTAGGACACAAAAAGAGAAGGATGCCGTTGTGTGACGTGCAGAGTGTGCACCTTTCAGCTCTTACAGCATTTGGTTTTGAGAATGTATCTGCCATTGACCATCTGTGAAAATAAACTCACTTAGTTTACTCTGATTAATAGATGGAAACAGCACACATGTTTCCCTCAAGGGCAGTATCATGTAAAGAATAAACAGATTAGTTTCTCCTACATATTGCCTAGGAAAAAAGCAGCAGAATTGCAGTTTTAAGACAATCAAATGCAGGCCTTCTTCTAGAAACCTGTCTCCAGAAACACACAACGCAATGATGCACACTGCTCTTGGTTATCTATGTTATAGAATCTTCTTAGGTGTTTGGTTTAGAGTACAAATCATTCTGTTCCATATAAGGTATGTATAATATCTAATGTATAATCTACTTTAATGAATAAAATCAGACAGGTTTTTTTTTCTTTAAGTTGTATATTTAAAATAAACAGCTTTAACACCAAATATTTCCCCCGAAGTCTTCACATGGAAATTAAAGCCTCAAGTTAAATGTTCTTCTTTAAACACAATTAAACCTAGGAAACTCTGTACTTCTAAAACACTGATAGATTTCTATACCATTACAGGATTTTCATGTTATTTGGTAGATGAAAGAGCACCGAAAAGCCGTCAACAAGCACTCTGATTTGTATGTATGTATGCACACTTCCCTGGTGGCTCAGTAAGTAAAGTGTCTGCCTCCAGTGCAGGAGACCCAGGTCAATCCCTGGGTCGGGAAGATCCCCTGGAGAAGGAAAGGGCAACCCACTCCAGTATTTTTCCCTGGAAAATCCCATGGATGGAGAAGCCTGGTAGGCTACAGTCCATGGGGTCACAAAGAGTCGGACACGACTGAGCAACTTCACTTTCATGTAACCCTTTCTAATTTGAAAGAGTGTGTGTACGTGTGCGCATCCGACATACCCTGATTTTCATATTTGATATAAAAGTCATCCTAATTAATTAAACAATATTCTATTCTGAAACACCAGGCGGTTTTCTTTTCAACGCTGACTTACTGCCTATTTACTTGGAGATCTAGGCTTACACTTGATACTTAACATTAATCTAACATGCTTTGATATTCATCTGTTTCCTAGTGTGACTACTTATGAAAAATCTGAAGCTTGTGTTTTAGCCATTTTCCCCCTAACATTACTCACCTTTATAAGAGCAGTCAATGTCAACTGTCAATTTAATTTCAACTCCAGCAACAGTGAGAAAGGTCCTTGACTGAGATAATAAATCTGTGTTCACATCCACACTAAGTTACATCCTGGGAGGTTTTCTTTTTTAATTTACTAAAATTGGCATTTGATTTCTTTCTCATGACTAGACTAGACTTATGAGCTACTGAAAGGAAGGCCATGGTGATCAAATAACACTTTAATGACATCACATCAAGGGTCTACACTATCCATGTGATTTCATCACTATTGATGCTTACCTTGACTACCTGGTTAAGACACTGACTGTCAGGGTTTCTACACTATAAAATTACTTTTTCTACCCTTTCCTTTACTCTACTCTCTGCCAGAAAGTTACTATGTGAAGCCCACATCAAAGTAGTCGGGACTTGCTTTTTAAAAATAAGCATGTCTAAGCAGAAGCTTCCAGATTATACCTTAGGTATACCTGAATATTGTCATAACATCACTAAACTATCAATTCTCTGCCTCTCTACTCTGCCAAATAAATGAAAAATAGGCCAATAAATGTCGATGCACCACATGTAAATTTTAAGAACATTTTCTTTTTATTCATTTCATGATTCTTTTTTTATATCCCTTACCTTGTGATAAGGCAAAACATTCAACTGTTATTTAATTGAAGGAGAAAAAGTAGAAACTCTGCAGAGGCATAACCTGATTTTAATGCAGCAGGTCACTCTTATTAGTAAAACAACAGTTTGACCCCAAAAGCCGTGGAGCCTCAGATGGTCATGAATTTGAAACTGATGGAGTAAAACCAATCAAAACTGATCACACAACAGAAAAAAATCCTGATGTCAAACTACAAGCATCACAGTCGGTAGCAACTCAGATCAGGAGAGGTCACCAGACATCTAATTCTACCCAATTCCCATTAAGGATAAATTACATTATTTGAAAACTAGCAAAACTGATCTGGTTATTATTCTTTACAAAAAAAGATTCAAGAAACAAACTCATCGTATGTAAGTTTTACACATATACAAACACACACACACACAGAATACAGAGCATGTCATTGTTTCAGTTACTTGCAAAGAAAATTTTCAGTGCTAGGTCCATTCACAGGAGAAGGGGGTAACAGAATATGAGACAGTTGAATGGCATTGTCAACTCAGTGGACATCAATGGAGACTGCGCAAACTCCAGGAGACAGTGAAGGACAGGGAAGCCTGGCGCGCTGCAGCACATGGGGTCACAGAGAGGCGGATGTGACTGAGCAAGTGAAAAAACAACAAGGTGCGTTCACCACAAAGAACATCTATGCTCCACCATGCGCTTTTCTGCCACAACTATCTGCCCGCTTCCTTCACTACCCGGAACAGGAAGGGGAATCCTGACAGAGTCAACGGCCCACTGTTACTATCAGACCTTGACTTCTGCTTTAATTACTAATTTAACATTTCAGCAATACCAAATCCCCAAGAAAAAGAAATGCAAAAAAACAAAATGGCTGTCTGAGGAGGCCTTACAAATAGCTGTGAAAAGAAGAGAAGTGAAAAGCAAAGGAGAAAAGGAAAGATATACCCATTCAATGCAGAGTTCCAAAGAATAGCAAGGAGAGATAAGAAAGCCTGCTTCAGTGATCAATGTAAAGACATAGAGGAAAACTATAGAATGGGAAAGACTAGAGATCTCTTCAAGAAAATTAGAGATACCAAGGGAACATTTCATGCACAGATGGGCTCAATGAAGGACAGAAATGGTATGGACCTAACAGAAGCAGAAGATATTAAGAAGAGGTGGCAAGAATACACAGAAGAACT